CCTCATCTATAAAATGTGGGTAACAATACTCCCTAACTTGAAGAGAGTTGGAATGGACCTCAGACCCATTCAGCTCTCATTTTATAGGCAAGAAAATTGAGGCCCAGGGAAGCAAAAAGACTTGACCAAGGTCACACAAGTAGTAAACATCAGAGGTGTGCTTTGTCCATGCAGCCTCTCGCTCTGCTTAGTCATTTCTTCCCAGAAACCCCACGTATTCTGATTCCAGAGCCAATGACCAATGTGTTATCATTATGCCACACTGCTTTAGGAACCTTACATAGAATTATTATTATTATAGATAGGAAGAGAGAGCAAATGAACTCCAGGAAACTGGATCATCTTCTGGGCCAAAGGAATGGCTATGTCAAGATAATCACAATAACAACTCGTAGTTGTAGCACTTTAAGGCTTGCAAAGCACTTTAGTCACAACAAATCTGTAAGGAAGGGAGGACGAATATTATTATTCCCATTTTACAGATGAAGAAACTGATCCTTATACACTATGACTTGTCAGATCTGTGATCTATGTTTTGTGAATTACAGAATCTCAGACTCTTGGTTAGATGGGACTACAAGAGCCTAGACTTTCCCCAGAGCTTACTCTATCATATTCAATAAATAACAGTCATCTCGCCTTTCCTTGAAGACTTTTCAATTCAGTAAACATTTATTGAGAGCCTGCTATATGCCAGGTACTATAATAAGTGAAATACAAATAAGAAAGCGAGTTCCTGCCCTCCAGGAGCTCACAATCTAATAGAAGACAAAACACAAAAGGTAGCTAAAAAGCTTACTTCTTGTGAGGAGGAACCCACCACTTCACAAGGAAGTCCATGTTGAGATAATGCTACAGGTTAGGAAGTTTTACTTGATGTGGAACAGTAATCTGCCTATTTGGAATATCCATTTCTTAATCTAGATCTGCCCTCTGGGGCCAAGCTGAAACCTCCTCTGATACAGCAACATTTAAATAATTGAAGACAGCTTTCACATCTGACCTCAGTCTTCTCTTCTCCAGGCTAAATACTCCCAGATCCTTCAGCAAGTCTTTATTTCCCATGGTCTCAAGGACTCCCAACATTCTGGCTGCCCTCTGATGGTTTCAACATCTATTTACTGTCTATCCTAAAACATTGTACTAGAACTGGATGAAGATCTTCAAATGGGATCTGATCAAAGCATAACACAGGAGGACAGTTCTCCTCTGGACTCCATTCATGACCTTTTAGACTTTCTCCATCACGTAGTCTTTCCACCCGAGAAGTTTACTTTCTGCCCCTATGGCTCCTTCCTCTGATTGGTCATTTCCTCCCAGAATCTCCATTTGAAGGAAAGTGCCCAGGCCAGTCTCCAGGCTCCACTCCTCACTCCCTAGACTTTTTCAATAATGTCCCCAAATGTGTACCTTCTTCCTCCTAAGCCTTGCATCTTTCAGCTTTTTTGTGTTGTCTTCCCCCATTAGAACGGAAGCTCCTTGGAGGCAAGGAAAGTATTTTTGCTTGTATTTGCATTTCCATTGCTTAGGACAATGTCTGGTACATATTGAGCACTTAATAAATGTTTGTTGACTTGCTGGTAGCTTGACTTACATCTACCTTGTTCTGAACACAGACAATATGCAAATAAATGAATACAGAGTAAACTATATAAAGCAAGTTTCCATTCAAGTAATAGCTATTAAAAATCAAGAGTGAGCATTACCTGTAATGGGGATAAGCTAGAAGCCTTCCCAATAAGATCAGGGGTGAAACAAGAATGACCATTACCACCACTATATTCAATATTGCACTAGAAATGCTAGCTATAGCAATAAGACAAGAAAAAGAAATTGAAGGAGTAAGAAAGGACAACAAGGAAATAAAACTATCACTCTTTGCAGATGATACAATGGTATGCGTAGAGAACCCTAGAGAATCAACTAAAAAACTAGTTGAAACAATTATCAACTTTAGAAAAGTTGCAGGATATAAAATAAACCCACATAAATCATCAGCATTTCTATATATTACCAACAAAACCCAGCAGGAAAAAATAGAAAGAGAAATTCCATTTCAAATAACGGTAGACAACATAAAATACTTGGGAGTCTACCTATCAAGACAAATCCAGGAACTATATGAACACAATTACAGAACACTTTTCATACAAATAAAGGCAGAGTAAATTATTGGAGAAATATTCATTGTTCATGAATAGGCCAAGCCAATATAATAAAAATGATAATTCTATCTAAATTAATTTATTCATTCAGTATCACACCAATTAAACTACTAAAAATTATCTTACAGAGCTAAAAAAAATTCCTCTGGAAAAACAAAAGGTCAAGAATGTCACGTGAATCAGTGAAAAAAATGTGAAGGAAGGCAGCCTAGCAGTCGCTGTTGTTATTGATTGGTATTCAGTTGTTGTAATTGTGTCTGACTCTTTGTGACCCCATTTAGGTTTTTCTTGGCAAAGATACTAGAGTTTGCCATTTCCTTCTCCAGGGGATCCAGTGGGCCCATTTTGTCAGGCAATCAGAGATTAAGTGACTTGCCCAGGGTCAATCTAACAGTACCAGATTTCAAACTACATTACAAAGCAATAATCATCAAAATAATCTGGTATTGGCTAAGAAGTAGAGTGGTGGATCAGTAGAATAGATTAGGTACATAATACCCAGTAGTAAATTAACATGGTAGTTGGGTTTGATAAACCCAAAGATCTAAGCTTTGGGGGTAAAAACTCACTATTTGACAAAAATTGCTAGGGAAAATGGAAAAGTTTAGTAGAAACTAGGCATAGATCAACATTTCATGCTATATACCAAGGTAAGCTCAAAATGAGGACATGAGTTAGACATAAAGGGAGACATGAGCAAATTGGGGGAGCGTGGAAAAGTTTGTCTGTCAGATTTTTGGATAAGGCAAGAGTTTATGACCAAACAAGAGATGGAGAGAATCACAGGAAATAAAATCGATAATTCTGGTTACAGAAAATTTAAAAGTTTTGTACAAACAAAGGAAAACAGGAAACAAGGGGGAAATTTTACAGCAAATTTTTCTGATAAAGGACTCATTTCTCAAATATATAGGGAATTGAGCCAATTTTATAAAAATAAGAGATATTCTTCAATTGGTAAATAGTCAAAGGATATGAAGAGGCAGTTTTCAAAAGAAGAAATCAAATCTATCAATAATCACATAAAAATGCTCTAAATCACTAAAGATTAGAGAAATGCGAATTAAAATAACTCTGAGGTACTCCCTCACACCTATTAGATTGGCTAACCTGACAGATGAGGAAAATGACAGATGCTGGAAGAAACTTGGAAAAATAGAGATACTAATGCACTGTTGGTGGAGTTGTGGGGCTGAAAAAGGAAAGAAAGAATATTTTTAATAAATGTTTAAATTAATTCATTTTTAGAAAATTTTGTTTGTTTGTTTTTGCTAGGCAATGGGGTTAAGTGACTTGCCCAGGGTCACACAGCTAGTAAGTGTCAAGTGTTTGGTCTGAGGCCATATTTGAACTCAGGTCCTCTTGACTTCAGGGCTGGTGCTCTATCCACTATACCACCTAGCTGCCCTGAAAATTTTTTAAAGTAAATAACAAGAAAGAGGCTCAGAAAGGCCCAATCAAAATCAACTAAACTTGAAAGACTTCTTAGGGCTTATTTTTATAGTCAGTCAATTAGCAGTTATTAAGTCCCTATTGTGTGTCAGGAACCTAAGACTCAGGGTACAAATGAGATAGACAATCAAGGAAATTGCAATCAGATAGGGAAAGATAACACACAAAGGAAAAGGTGGAGAAGAGGGAGAGAAAGTATTAATCTCTCTGTTTCTAGGCTACAGGCATCCTATCATGAGGGTGAAGCCACAGCTATACTGTGTAGATGATAACTTAAAACCTGTCTCCTCTACATGTCTGAGTTCCTCAGGCTACTTTGTGGCATAAGCAGTAGGTTGTCATGGGTCATAAAGGTTCATTAACATTAATTAGATTAACATTAACAGATTAAACTGGCTGTAGGCTTTGGTTCCCAAGTCTGGCTGCTGCATTCCTGAATTTCTTTGGTGATATACTTTGTGTGTGTGTGTGTGTGTGTGTGTGTGTGTGTGTGTGTGTGTGTATGTGTATAACTTCCTTCACTCCACATACATAGAGAAAATCCCCATTTGGCAATAAATACCCAGCCAGGGTGGTGGAAAGAGAATCAGAATCACCAGCAATGAAAGACCCATGGTACTGGTTTGCATAATATCAACTTTCCAGCTTTCACAGGGTTGGAGGGAGGTCTGGTGCAAATCAGAGAGTGAGATTCCAGTTGAGCCTTGTGGGTGGTGGCTTCCCCCCACTACCTCTCCTTTCCTGAGCCCCCCAAAGCTTCCTGGCTACAGAGCCGCAGACAGGCATGAGCTATAAAAGGAGTTGCCAACAGCATGAACTGAGTCTGAGGTTTGGCTGTAAGCACCGGCCCCCTTCCTTTCATGTGTTGTTTCTTTGAAGTTGAATTCTCAAGTTTTTCACTGAATTGAGACTAAATTTAGGTCCTCATTCCCACCACAGTCACCCAAGAAGGGAGGGAATAAAGACAAATAAGGGGAAAGCCTAATAAATATATGACGAGCCACTGAAAAGTTTGCCAGCTGCCTGTAATTTATTCAAACTATGGCATTCACTCACGATTAATATATTTTAATTTATTTCTGTCTCCCTGAGCATGCTCTATGTCTGTCAGCAGCTGATGCCTAGGCCTGGGTGTCCTAGTGAAATAATACATGGCGTTGTCTGGCGTGATGTAAAAATACACGATACATCACGCGGATGCATTCAGCAAGAGTGACATAAGAATGACGAATGGGCCCTGGCCAAACACTTAAGTGCATCCATCCCACATTAGTAGAAAATGAATATTAATACACCAGAAAATGGCTTGTGTGATGAGGCTCTCAGGTTGTATTAGTGCCTAAGCATCAGCCTATCTCCTTCCCAGAGCTCGTTCAGGCTTACGGTGCCATATGTAGAAAGACAGCATGGAGCGGAGAGGTAGGAGAGCCAGGCTGGAGTATCAGCTCATACCACTAGCCGTGTGGCCCTGGGCAGGTCACTTAAACTCTCTTAGTTTTCACATCTGTGAAAAAGAAGAAGAAGAATAGCAAACACTCACACCGACTGCATGTCAGAAATATTATGGGGAAAATATTAAGTGCAGCCCCATAGTGGTAGCTGTGGCTGCTGGGAGATGTAGTTTCCCCAGGTGGAGGGAGGGACAGAAGGATTTCAAGAGGTGGAAACTGCATGTGTAAAGGGGCTTTAACATGGGGGGTGGGGGTGGCTACATTTGAATTTTTTGCTTGGTAGGCAGGTACCAAGATCCCTTATAAAGAAAAATATTCATAAGCAGGGCTTTTTGTCATAGCATAGAAAAAGAGCAAAGTAGCTGTCCATGGACTGGAAAATAATTACATGAATTGTGCTACGTGAATGTCATTGAATATTATCATGCTGTTTAAAAAATTAAATATGAAATAGTCAGGGAAAGCATGGGAAGGGTTGAGAAGGGTTGCTAAGATGAGAGTCAGGGGGTTCTGAACTGTCACCCCCTAAAATGGCAGCAGAAGGTCTCAAGTAGCTCTCAGAAAAACTAGTACCACAGACCTCTCTTGGCTACTGGGACCATAGGGTCCAAAAAATGGGGCCACATTGATCTATAGATTCCCTAGATGACCTGGAAGTCTTAGACTAAATTTGACCGGCTCTGCTCATGTTCTGACCGTGCTCTTTTCTTCACCTTAGTGTTTGGCCCCTCACAATTCAGAGCATCCCCGTCAGAGGGGAGGCATATCGTACTATGGCGAGAGCACTGGTTCTGAAGTCAGAAGTCCAAGCTTCAAATCCCACTTCTGACATTTGCCATCTGTGTGACCTTGACCAAGGCACTTGGCCTCATGACATGGACTCTGTTTTTTCATCTGTAAAATGAGGGTGTGGACTAGAGGGTATTTGATGACTCTTCCAAATCTGGAGAGAGGATTCTAAGAACCAAACACTGGATTATCCTTCACTGGCACCATTACCGAGCTTGCTAAAATGTAATGTTCATGTTAGCTAGAAGGATACATCTCCAAGAAGCTTTCCCAGCTCTCCCCAGCCTACTGCTGTCCCTCTCTTTTTAGCACCCATAGGCCTTCTGTTCTGAACCAGTCAATGACCGTTAGAACACATTGCCTTGAAATATTAAGTATAACTGAATTTCAGAAGTGGAAAGGACCTTAGAGGCCATATAATCTAACTAGAGCAATGAGTAGGATAGGGAGATAGGAGTTTTGCCTCAGGGTACTGGAGTTTAAAGGGTGCTGACAGTACTTACACAGCCTGAGGGACTCTCAATAAATGTTTATTGAATTGAATTCAAGAAATAATGTAAAATTCTAAACTTGGATCCATCAAAATAATTCTAAGTTCTCTTCAGAGAGCCTTTCAAAAAGTTGAGGACAACTCTCTGTTTCCCTCTTATCTAAAGCAGGATTTGAACTCAAGTCTTCCTGACCGCAAGTGCAGCAATGTATCTACTTTGCAACATAGGGGATGGTGATAAGGAAAGATGAGGAGTGGAAGGGGGGGCCTAAAGGAGGTAGATTTGAGGTTGAAGAGGTTGAGAAAGTGGGGAATCAGGATGTTCCAAGGAGGGTAAGGGTGGGGTGCAGAAGTAAAATGTGAGTCAGGTTCTGAATTTATTGAGGGAAGCGGATGACTTGGGAGCCCACAGATGATAACAAGGGTCAGGAAAGCCTAGAGTGGACTTCACTGGAGGAAAGTGATTGTTGCATGATGGTATTGGGGGAGAGTGTGAAAGTGGAATAGAAGACCTCCTCCTCCAGTGTGTCGGCAGGTGTGGATGAAAGAGCAGCCAGCCAGTCTTGGAAAGGGTGCCAAAACATGAGGTGTGTACAGGAGAAAGATGGGCTACAGAAGAAAGGAAACTGAGGCCCAAAAAAAAAGAAGCAATTTGTTCAAGGTCACACAGGCAGCAAGTGGTAGAGCCAAGACTCACACTCAGGGCCCATAAGTCCAAATCCATCCAACTTCCTTCAGTGCTACAAGAGAAAAAAGTCTCAATGGGTGCAGGAGCAAGAGGGGGTGGATGAAGAAAGTGACTTGGCTTGTTGGGGGTGGGGGAGAATGCCACATCCCCACTCAATGGAAGATAAGGTTGGGGGTCCATGAAACCCTTGAAGGGTAGAACAGGCCAGAGAGGCTGATGTCAAGAAGAGGTGGAGGGTAGGAAGCACATCGCAGGGGGAGAAATCTTACCTTGTAGGATATCAGCATCTGGGGCATGTCTTGGTTGTCCTGTACTGGATCTGTCTCTGCCTACTCAGATACAAGTGGGTCTCAATGACCTCCGAGGACCCTTCCAGATCTGAAAGTCTATTATTCTATGAAAACTTTCCATTACGTTCCTTCCCTGACCCCACCCTTGGCCCACACACCGTATTGGCTGAAGTCCTAGGCTGGAAGTTAGAAAGAACCAGACTCAGGTCAGGCTCCCAAATAAGGCTCTGTGACCATGGGGAAATCACTCGGCCTCTCTGAGGCTCCATTTCCTCAGCTTTAAAATCCATCTAATAATTCCCACAGCATTTGCCTCATAGAGTTCTTGTAAGACTCCAATGACTGCAAAATACTTTGCAGACCTTCAAAACAAAATGCCCATTGTTTGCAGTACAAGGAAGGCAAATCTAGGGCCACTCTCTGAGTGCCTGCATTGGGATTAGCTCCCAATCCATGGAGCCTTTAAAGGACAGCTTGGATTTCTCTCTACAAGAGACCAGAGATGAAATTCCTTTTTGGGGGGAGGGGTGAAGATTGGACCTCCAAGATCCCTTCCAGCCCTGGCTCTAAGCCTCAGTGATCTAAGACCCATCCATGGATGCCTTCCTGGAGGTAGAAACCAGAAGCAGGAATATTAATATTGAAACCATATATGGTTTTAGGTACTGTCCCAAGATACCTAGAGCATCCTCCCCTCCCATCAGCCTGTCTCTTCACTCTGCCCTACTCCCTACACCAACATCATTCCAATCCCCTTGCTCAGGCCCTCTCACCCACCCATGATGCCCTCCCCACCTGCCTTCCTCCAAGTGTCCAAGTTAATGAAGTAAATCAAAAGCACAGCCCCCTCTGGGCCAGGGCAGCAGCCACACAGCCTGGGCAAACAGCACATGTGTGCCTGTGTGCATATGTGTGCCATGTCTTTGAGAGTGCTGGGTCTCACCTGGGGACAAAATGATGAACAGCCCAATTCCTGGATGACCCTCCATTAGATTAGCCCTACAGCAAGCCAGGGAGCTGGCGGCCCGACCCCGGCGGGTTAATGTTTCTCTCTGCTGCTGCTGCCAATGGTTCAGTGAAAACCAAGATGCACCAGGCTCTCTTTGCTTGCTCCCTTGCGAAAGTCTCTATCGGTAAATATTGCTTAAGGAAGCCCTAATTACCATACATGGTCCAATTAAGGACAGCCAAAAGGCAAACCTACTCCAGCAGGCTCTTCCCAGTTCAGCATCGCGGGTGATGTGTGTATATTTTTTAAAATATAAATGCAACTTGAATATAAAAATTATTTACATTCCCCAGCGAAGCTGCCAAACAGTTTTTAACTGCAAGCTAACGGCAGGGCTCTCCCTCTCCCTGGCTCTTTCTTGCTGATAAAGGGCCATAAACAAAGCTGACACATTCATAATAACCTTTTCTCCCTCCCCTTCCTTCCCCTTGGGGACTCTTGTTTCAGGCTTTCACTCACATGTTGGGCTGGATAATTTTTTTATTATTCTGCCATTAGCTGGGAAGAGAGAGTTTGATGGGGGGAAATAAAACACCAAATCATTTAAAGAAGGGGGAGGGGCTGAATCCCAATAACTTTTATTTTTCAGTTTCAGCAACAGCTGTAAAGATGTCACTAGTGAAGGCTGAATCAGAGAATGTCAAAGCTGAGAGGGGCCTTGGAACAGAGAACTAGGAATGTCAGAGATATCAGGGGCCTTAGAACTCACCACGAAGCATTTTCAAATCCCTCAAGTTTTCAGAGGACTGATGATGTCACAAGGTGATGTGTTTACTGGTGAGTGAATTGGATTTAAGTGAGGCAGAGTTGCCTAAAGTCATCAGCCTCACTCTCTCTTCCAGAGTCACAGGAGTCCAGTGGCAAGACAAGTCAAGATGGCTGGCGATGGTCCGTGGTGCAATGGATGACCTTGGCATCTTCAATGTCTGACCAAGCTCTAAGTGCTCCACAGAGCCTGCTCCAGCTGGCTTCATACCCACAGTTTTCATCTACCCATTCCACCAAGGAAAGTCTTCACATGTTTACAGGACACATTTCCTTAACTCACTGATGGTTTTGAGGCCTGTCAGTTATCTTCAACCTGGTTTAGCCCATCTGCCCAAGACAGTCTACCAGAGTGACCACAGCACATGTTGCAGCTTCTTGGAGCAACAGGTGAAAGTTGGGTGCAGATGGACACTAAAGGTGAATGAGCAGCCCTGAGATGGGCTTGGTGGTCCTCACTCCAGAGGTGATATAGTCCTCCCTGAACACCCCAGCTAAAAGAAAAAACACAGAGCAGTGAATTTAGACAGTCAGAAATAGAAATTTAGAACTTAAAGCCTAGAATGTGTCTTAGAATTTGAAACATAGACTGTCAGAGCCAGAAGGGGTCTTGGAGTGAAGGACTCAGAATGTCAGAGCTGGAAGGGACCTGAGAACCGAGATTGTCAAGCTGGAAGAAAACAGTAGCACTTGGAACACAGAGGTGAGAACGGCTCGGGACTTCAGAGCATAATATGTGAACTAACTGGCAGCTTAAAGATGGGCCACTCCACACCCTTCATTTGTCAGATGAGGAAATTGCAGACCAGAGAGGGGAAAGTGATTCACCCAGACTCATGTCGGTCACCAGCTATGGAGCAGGGACTCAGACCAGGGTCCTCTGGTTCCAAATTCAAGTCCAAGCTTTGAAGTGTTTTCTTTCTGCTGATTCATTCATTTTTTCGGTCCCTCAGGATTGGAGACAGGAGACCTTGTTGGCAGACTTTGCGTGTGTCTTCTCAAGTGGCTGAGCCACACCCAAAGATTGGTGGGCTAGTCAGGAGGGCACGGGAGTTCTGCCAGCCCCCAAAATGATCACTAAAAAAGAGCATTGATTTTTAAAAAATATGTATGACTGTCAGTGCTATAGACATACTTATGGGGCTAGGGTTCACCAGTCTTTCTTCAGAGTTTGGGGTCTACGTAAGGATGCAGGTGAGTGAGAGGAAGCAGTGTAACATGGAAGGCCAATCACAGAGTTAGGAGCCCCAAGCTCATCTTGTCTAATGCCCTCCTTTTACGGGGCCTAGAGAGAACACGGGTCACTTCAAGGGCAAGTCCTCTGACTCTGAGTCCAGCACTTCCCCACTGCACCACTGTGAGATGCCCCCAGGGTCGCTTCCAGCTCTAAAGCCTAGGAAACCAATGTTACAGAGAAGCGGGTTTGACTCATCAGGAGAAAGAAAAAAAAACTTTCCAAATAACCAGAGTAGAGGGAAGGCTGTGTGGTCTAACCTCTTCCTCCTAAGGAAACATGGGCCCAAGAAGTTTAAATAACTTGCCCCCGGTCACACAGGTAGTAAATGTCAGAGTAGTATGAATGATCATGAAAGTAGTGAGCTCCTCATCACTGGAACTCTTTCAGAAGAGCCTGAATAATTGGGGATGTAGTAGGAGAGATTCTACAGCTAGGCTGCATAGTAGGTGGAGTGTCAGGAACCCCTGAGTTCAAATCCTGCCGCACAGACACTTGCTAGCTATGTGACTCTGGACAGGTTACTTAATCGCTCTCAGCCTCAGCTTCCCTATCTATAAAATGGGGATAATAACATCACCTAACTAAGATGCTGTAAGGATCAAATGAAGAAATGTATAAAAACCTTCTGTGAACCTTAAAGCACTATATAAACGTGGGCCGAGATCCTTTCCACTTTGGAATTTCTGGGATTCTGGGTAACAAGCCAACACCTAAGTATGGTACTTCTAGATTCATCCACCTCTTTAAATGGGAATGTCATAGGAGTAAAAAGTATGATGGCCCTAGTGTTGTACCAGATCTGCTTTTTGGAGTCTCCCCTGCCCCTGTCTGTGTGACTCCCAGAATGAAGTGTCCCAGAAAGGGTGAAATGCACTGTCAGGTTGGGTCTTCTTGGATCGCCTAATCCATCCTGATTCTCTTTGGGGTTTAGGGGGCTAGTCCACAGCCTGGTCCCCTCTGTCCTCAGTAGCCTTCTCAGCCCCCACTCTCCATTAACAAGCACTAGGGCAGAAAGTCTGGGGTCAGTCTCTCCCTAGGTTATGCTCCCTCCCCAGTTCATCCGGCATGGCCAGTCTTAGCCATTAAGTGAGCATGCACCTCTCTCCATTACTTCTCACCCCTTCCATGGCCCGTTGATCTATGGTGAAGGCAAATTGAATTCCTGCTGCTCTTAATCCCACCTGACGCTTGTTACATTATGACGCCGGCTTCTTTGTTTTGGAGTCAATAGCTATTCCTTGTGAGAAATATGGATTATTAGAATTTATGGCTAGTCCTCGGTGTCTTTTCAAACACTCATATCCTTTTATCATCCCTCTCTGCTGCATGGGCCTCCAGGTGGCCACACCTGGGACTCCTAGAAACAGAGCTCCATCAATAGTGCCTGTCCTGGTCGCTTTAATATACGTGCCATTTGGCTGATGCATGAATTGCAAGGGGGGTGGCCCAGGGCTCCCCTGACTGCCATCTATTCCCCTGCAAGTGGCTGGCTTCTCTGTGTCCCGCTAAGCCAGGAGCTCCTCCCTGCCTCTGCCCAGGGTACCACTTACATCCACTTAAGTCTGGCTGTCCCAGGGACGCAGGGGGCCCTCAGGCTCTCGCCTTTCTCAGTTCTGGGTGAGAGGGTGTTGCTGAAGTCTGATTGTTTATCTGAAATAAATCAAGCCTCCAAGTTCCTGTTTTTCGTGTGGCAGGCAGTGAGGAGAGGTCACAGATCTGGTGGCTGGGGCCCAGAGCCCAAATCCAAAGGAGACCTTGGACAGAGGAACCCTTCTAGGACACAAAGGAGCTGAATGGGAGAGGGAGGGAGGGAGACATGCCATTTGACGGCAGAAGTCATAGGATTATAGGATTTAGAGCTAGAAGGATCTTTGGAAATCATCTAGAGGAGGAAACTGAGGCCCAGAGAAGTTAACTCACTTTAGGGCATCTAGGTGGCATAGTTCGTAGATTGCTGGACTTAGAGTCAAGGAGATGAGAGTTCGAATCTTATACACTTACTAGTTATGTGACCCAGAGAATTATAGATCTTCAACTGGAAGAAATCTTATAGATTTTGTACCCTCACTCCCCTGCTAAGTCTCACAAGGACCTAACCAAACCAAGCCAGGACCCCGACTTCTACAGGTACAGATCTCAGCTGCCCCACATCCCCTCTTATCCTCCAGTCCCCATCTTGCCCGGCATTCAAGGCTCAGCTCCACTCCCTCTTCTGCAAGAAGCCTTCCCTGAGTCATCTGGCCCACACTGACTTCTCCATCCCCAGACTGCTAGGCACTTAGAGGCCAAGCCTTACTCAACTTCTTCTGTCTTGAATCAGTCTCTTGTTTCAGCTGTGAAGTACTGAGTCTAAATTCAAATCTCATCTCTGCCACTTACTACCTGTGTAGTCTTGGGCAAGCTATTTTTCTATTGTGAGCCTCAGTTACCTCATCTGTAAAATGGGCTACATGGCCTCTAAGTTCCTTTCTAGCTCTAGAGCCGTGACCCTGTGGTTCTATAATGTCTCTCTCAAAGATCTCTGAGGGGAGGGACTGTGGGATCTTAATCCAACTCTCACATTTTATAGATGAGGCTTAGAGAGGGGGATGTGACTTGTCTAAGGCTTTGTTATTCAGTTGTTTTTCAGTCATATCAAACCAACTCTTCCTGACCCCATTTGGGGTTTTCTCAGCCAAGACATTGAAGTGGCTTGCCATTTTCTTCTCTAGCTCATTTTGGAGATGAAGAAACTGCTTTATCACCTGATCCTCACAACAACCGTATTAGGTAGCTGATATTATTATCCCCATTTTACAGATGGGGAAACTGAGGTTGAGAGAAATTAAGTGACTTGCCCTTCGCCACACAACTAGTAAGTGTATAAGGCCAGATTTGAACACACAAAGATGAGTCTTCCTGACTCCAGGCCTGATACTCTATCCACTGCACCACCTAGCTGCCCATCTACCCATGCTCAAAGACCTCCCCTAACAGACCACTGACCCACTGCCTCTCTGGGCAGCCAGTTTTGCTTTGGAGCC